GGGGGGGGGTCTGAATTGAGCGATCAATTATTAGACCCGGACGTCCCAACACTTGCTTCGCAAGACAAACTCAAGGTATCCCCTAAAGGGCTACCTTTCGTGATCATTGAGCACTATGATGGAGGCACCAAAGGCACCCCAAAACAAAAAAAGCCAGCACGATACAATGATTGATAAAACACGCAAACACACACACAGAAAAAAAGGAAACCAGTAACAAAATCGAAAAAACACCCATGACCTAAGAAGTGTTACTCATCCACTCCTCTTTTTATCCGGCTCGGTCCCTTCCATGTTTGTCCATCAGGTGGTTTATAGCCTGTAAAGACTGTACTACCACAAGAACCATATGGCGGTTGCTAACCATATGGATGGTGGTTACAACCATTGCAATATGGAGGTAATGGCCATATTACAGTGGTTTCACGGGTGAGGTTCGATGTGCAATGGACTGGACCCACAGTGGGACTTTGTGCCATCTACTCTCAAAACGCTGGTATACCTGGAACCAGGATGAACCAGGCACACATGCAGGCGATGCATCATGAGAAGCTCCCGAGGTGACGTGACTTTGGCTCAGCATTGACCTTGGGGAGAGAATTGCACCAATGATCCCTGGAACCAGACTGCGAGGTACAAACCAGACCTGTTCGACCTAAGACATGGGGTGTTTCGACCAGACCGAACATGGTGAACAAAGATGTGAACACAACATCTCTGCGAACACCAGGCACGATTCCAACTCTGCGATGGTGCCCTTGAACCCGGAATCATGTATAGACACATTGATTCATAAACCTCACCATCTGAATTGAACCATCTTCATATGGCATTAAGAGTCTACATTACCCTCTAACCATGTTCATCTGCACGAGGATACTTCAAAAACTCCAAAGGGACGAACATTGTGCATATCGGCGCTTGTAAGCTCCAGTCGGACACATCCAAGTGGAAAGACTAGCCACCACCGCCAGCACTATAAGTGTGGCCAAGTACTGGTTCCATGTTAAAAGTAACCCTTCTCACCCAAACAGGGTGCTTGTCTTTCGGCAACTTCAACATTTTTTGGACATCAAGCACCCCTTCTCACACCTTTTCTAACCACTAAAACACTATAGTACTATAGGTCACTTCCCTATATTTCCATTAAACCATAACAGAACATTTCACCATATGATGTAAATATTCCATATCCTTGACTCACCGGAGAAAATAGAAAACAACACACTTCCCAGACCTGGACCCGGCCCTTTTTTTTCCAACGGCGGTCACAAGAAGTGACCCAGCGCGGTCGGACGACGGTGGGGCCGCAAAGCACTTCGCCTCGCGACGGGAACTTAACTTCGGCCGACACACGGTCAAGACCAACTCGTGTCACCGTGCAAGTATTCGACTTATGTGAGTGATACAGGTGTGAAAAAAAGACTCATGTGATTGATACGGCATGAATACGTACATATACAGTATGTGATCATATGTGGAATGTATGGCATATGCAAGAACATGGTGGGCACACGAGAATGCGCCGAAGTGGGGGGTATCAACCACTCCAGCAACGAATGTGTGCAGCGGCGCGAGAACGCGCCTCATTGGGAGTGGCAACAGCAGCGGGCCATGGGATTCTAAGAGTCCACTTTCATTGCCTCAATGAGGACGTGCCGAGGTGAAAGGAGGTACACCCCCGAAGGGACCCAGAACGTGAGAATGGACCAGACTGGAAGACTACTTTACTTTAACACCGAGTGGTTTTGAGATTCCATGTGAATCTTCCGCTTTTTGAAGGACGGTGCCGGGGAGGCCCAAATGGGCGCCGCTTATAGAGGTTCGTGCCGGGAACTACCCCGAAGGGACGGTATACGGTGCAGTTGCTCAAAGCCGTCTGCTTGTACAGGTTGCAGAACGTTGTTCTATCTGGGATTGTACTAGCATTTCTACCATGTCTACCTATCTGTTCTCTGAAAAACGTTGGTTCTACCATTTCTACATTTATCTACTGTATCAGCAGCTGATGTTGCAATAAGATGGATAAAGAGACGCGCATCTTGTGGACAACTCCAACTCCGGTGGTCACAGGTGCTTTAAGTGGGCCCTGCGTCGCATGTTTTACATACAAGCTCTTGATTACCAGGACCCTCTAAGGGGTGCCCTGTCTGGAAGCCTATAGGTAGTGTGGGGTAGTCCATTCTAAGGGGTGCCCTGTCTGGAAGCCTATAGGTAGTGTGGGGTAGTCCATTGGACACCCCGACAGGAGGGTCCTGGTATATGTTACTCCCAGGTTGGATTGTCATGGATTCTAACACCTCTTTTGTGTCTGGCGGCTGATGTGCATCAAGAGTCTACACTCACAATCGTCATGGTTACGTGAAGTGAGTTCACCACCTGTTTGGTCTTGAACAAAGGACGACACTGGTTTGCTGATCAATCGCCACGGGGACGTTCATCAAACATGTTCTATCCACCCATTCAGAAACCAGCATAAACCCGTACAATAACGGCTTGGGGCCAACTGGAAGAGCCCTCAGCCAGAAAGAACCATCCCAGGTTTGAGGACATCTTCCGCTCCGTATGTGCTGATGCTGTTGAGGGAAGAGTTATGAGTGATGTTGGACTTCTTCCATCGACGCTGGAGATTCTCTGTGCTCCTTTTGATTGACACGGCTAGATTCACCACAGCAGCAAATTATTGTAAACAAGCGTTGCCCACCGATCCGGCACCAAATGTGGGTAGATCTAAATATATACCGTACCCGCATTCAAATACCCACTGCTCCCGTCGTGAATTTGCAATTGAGATGCCCTCTGGTGGCCTCAGCGTTTGCCGACCCCAAACAAGTGAGACCAAGTGTTGATGCACCATCTTCTTGCTTCTCCGCGGAGGGTTTCGAACTTTATCTGGATGAGACCAGAGAACCCCACAAACAACTCCACCCAGGTGGACAATCGGCCTCTTCCTACCCCTTCATGTGGTGTGGGGCATGTAGTCTAAGAAGTCGTCTTCAGGGTCCTTCCTTCAAGATTTCTCTGGTGGTGTGAAGGGAACTGCGCAGGAAACTGCCTTCTTGACAAGCCAATGGAACTATAGACCCTTTGTCAAAAGGCATCTTCCGGAAGAGAGACCCGCAACATGCCAAACACCATGCAGTGTTGCAACAAGGCCCACTAGTCCTGGGCTCCTTGTTCTTCTCTTCTCCCTGATGGGGGCGAACATAGAACCTGAACACAAACGAAGAAGCTGCCACAAAGGGAAACGAAGGGAACCAGGGACTGCAGGAGTGTTGTCATCCCACCCTGGAGGAAAGAAGCAAAACACACACAAAACCAACGACAAAAGGCCTAAGTCGATGTCTTTACACGTCTTGAGGGAAAGAATCAATGTCTGACATGAAAAGCCTTGACATTTACATGAATTCAGACATCTACGATCTATCCAGGGAGATGATAAGAAATAGCTGAGACGTCTGACGACAAGAAGTCGTGCTCTGACGTGGTTCCGGAACATGCTCCGCGCATCCAGAGATGCCTAGATCCCAGAAGGGGCCCACGGCCTCTCTTCTGCACCCAAGTCGAGGGCAAGGTGTCTGGTCGTCAGGTCGTCAGTTTCACTCGTCGCAGGCACGAATGAGGGGCAGTGCCCCAGGGTAAACGCACCACATTCTTTTTCTTCATGACCAAACCGTGTGAGACAGAATCAGTTTGAGAGGCAAGCAGACAGTTCAACCAAGGAGTCCAAGGTCAGCCAAGACGTGGATGGATTCCCAGACTCCCGGTGTCCTTCGCTGTCGCCCAGGGACGTGTGGTAGGGATTCGACTGGGACTCGATGATCCCATAGTCCTGCGACGATTTCCAAGCCATGGCCGAGAACACACATGGCCAGTACATCAGAATATCTATAGACACATTGGGTGGCATTCTTCATGAAGAGAAACCTGCACTTTCCAATGAGTTTCTGGGTCGTGCACTGTTGCTTTTTGGGACGCTTCGTTCGATGGTTTCCCCTTGTCTTAGCGTCCGGGACTACACGGACGTCCACGAAAGAGTGCAGGATCCCCCTTGCTTGGGGCGACCAATCTGTATCAACCGGGGCCGTATTGGTGCCTACATTGACCCCCAAAACCACCCCAATGTAGGCATCATGGCATACATGGAGTGTCTGGGTATGCATCCAACGGTCCAGCTTCTTCAGTTCGTGACCTTTTTGGAGTCGACATGTCAGTGACCTTTTACAGGCCTGTTCGTGACCCCAAACCCAGGGATGAAAAGGTCACTTTGAAGAACCAGGGTCTTTCCTTTGAATCACCCCCAAGGAACCCTTGATCTCTCTTTCAAGGGCGACTAGGCCTCTGGACCCTGACTAGTCCGCTGGGCTTTCCAACGCTCGCCTTGAAATGGTTTCGCATATCCGCCTCTTTGCAAGCCCTGGCACATCGCAGCGGAGAGAATGAAAGACGCAGGCACATGGCGTGCGGAAGTGAATGTGTCCAAAAACAAGTGAGAGCCAACAAAAAGTTGCAAGAATATGCAAGAAGAACTGGACACCCCAAATAAGTGAATGCAAATTATTAAAGAACCAGTGGCCACAATCAATGGAAAGCTTCCGCACTTGGCACCCTGCCGCCAGGTCGCTACCCCTGAGGATTTCATGTGGAACATGGTACAAGTATAAGTAAGTCATAATTCTGAGCCCCACACGCTGGGTGTCAAATTAAACTGGAAGGTCTATCCACGGGTCGGTATTGGTGAGGTATTCGCAACTTCAGCCTGTGTGGCACATAACGCATGTTGCAAGTGGAGCTTTCACCTCCACTCTTCGGGCCAGAACAACTTCCTGCTAGAAACTGCAGTGCAAAAATCCTTGACCGGAGAACTAAAGCAAGTCTCCAAAAAAGCTTTGCAAAGCAAGTCTCAACAATAAGAAGCATCCTTTGGGTCTATCCTATTAATTACCAGTAAAAGTAGATGATTATGGTTAGGTTACATGCCTTTTTCTACAAAAGTTCACTGACTGTTACAGGTAAGTTCGGACCAACCCAAGAGTCTTGGGCCAAGACATCCTGTTTGAAAAGGTTGAGCAAACGGCTTGGTCTTGGGCCTGGAATCCGAGCAACCAAGCAGCACCCGCGGTGCAGCTTAGAGTCGATCCTCATCCAATGAATTCGCCATTCCAACATGGAGGAACCACCAGTCCAAGACAGTCTCTGCTCAAACACTTGAACAAGTCGATGGGTTTTTTAGTTGAACTGTGTTGAACTAGTAACTGCAGGACAAGAAACTCCCACACCATCCAAGTGCGGAATAGTTACCTACATGGATGGGCCATCAATGGGGTCAGTGCATGTAACGATTCCATGCGTGGATGGTCTGAATGACCTAACACTTCCACCTGTCCGCTGTGCGGCGCAGTGGTCACAGTGCCCAAAGGACCCCATCTTGGACCATCGTAAAGCCTCCCAGGGCACCAACTTTGATCCCAACCTCCTCAAAAGGTACAGTAAATATGTCAAATGAAACGATCAACACCTGAAGAACAGTCATGCATCTGTTGGTTTTCCGGCCTCTATCTCGTGTCCTTCGACTCTAACCGACCTCGATATCGTGGTGGTTTTGGAAGACCGACCTCTCCGGTGCAAGCTCCCTGGTGTAGCTGGGAGCAAGAACGATGGCAGCTCGGTATAGCTCGGTCTAGTTGCCAATCCAGAGGGCTGCTGCAGATGTTGATCAATCTAGGTAGCCTCTAAGCCTGTATAGGTTTCCTGGATTTATCCCAAAACCCTGGTTGTTGCAATGGCGTTTTCGGCGTCTGGCCTAAACGTGCACTTGGTGGGCGGCGGCTTCTCTCGATCTGCAATCGCACGCCTGACTTGTGTGTTCACGGGGGCAAGCTGTGGAGTGCGATTCATGACGCAATCCTTGGGGTCATACAGTATAAATGTACATTGGGGCATGCAGATTAGGTAATGTCGACCCTTGATTTATAAACTCCCCCCCCCCTCCCCCCCTCAACAACCAAGGCCTCCAATATAATGCATAAGAAAATCAATCAATTGACAATTAAATAAGGAATCCTTAGTTAGCTACCTCTGGAGCTACTCTGGCAATATGAAAAAAAGGAATTAAGAAACCTAACTTTGAAGACATCTGGAATATTAATTAGAATAAAAGGGAATGAATCAATGGACATAGAACTAAAAGTGCGCACTGACTTTTGGAAACTTTTGGAAAGCTTCACAACTAAAGAGCTTAGGACAAGTAAA